TTAGTCAATGATTTTTTTTGTAAAATATTAATACTTTTAAATCATTATATTTAAAAATTTTTTTTATTAAACAAGTTCTATTTTTAAAACTAAGGAGTCGTGTCGGTTTCATATAATCTTTAAATTATAAAATTAAAAATTGTAGTTTAAAGTTGCTTAGTTGCAGTTATTTATTTTGTTCAAGCGCGCACTATATTTGGTTTTGTAATCTGCATCTGTCAACCATGTAAACTTTTAAATATTTTGTTCATCCATTAATGTGGTCATAAAACTGTTATCAGCCGTATCAATGATACCGGGCCCCCGGCCAGGGGGCCCCCGATTGGCTTTGACATGCGTAGCAAAAAACATATTACCCACATGTTAAAAAAATTGAGGCATCAAATTAAATAAATAAATAATATCATTATTTAATTGTTTATTCTTCGATTTATTAAATTAAAATTTTCCTGAATACCCTTCTGTTCCAACGAGGCCGTTATCTCATAGGAAATGTTTCTGCCCGCACCTTTCTGCTATGCGTTGTCTTCGGCGCAGTCTGCGCATATTGTTCTGTGCTCTGCGCCGCATACTGAGTCTGCTTTGGCCCAAAGCTTTGGTTGTTATTATCATAGGTTATATTGATAGCAAATTAGAAATAATTAATGCCATTATTTTAAAATAGAAACCTTTTAAAAGATGTTGAAGAACAGTAAATGTCTAAAACCAGATCAAATTTTAAAATTTACCTGTACATAAAAAGCTATGTATACATGGGTGAATATATTGAGATGTCCCCCAAGTAAAAATGATTATTTTTTATTTTTGGTTGTTTCACTGTTAGTCTAGAATGGGGTTTTTGGGAAGTCACCAGGTCTAGTAATAACATAACATAAGTGGTTCTGCATTAATGCAAGAATTTTAAGAAATCATACATTTTTAATATTAGAGCTTTACGGAAGATAGATTCACGGAGGTTAGGATTTCGTATGTTTTTTAAACCTTTGTTTATTTGAAATAAGTTATTGTATCTTTTGACACCTTAATATTTTTTTAAAATACAATTGTACATAGGTACTTACCTAAAATATTTATAAAAAAATTTTCTTACTGAGGTATTACACTTCACGGTGGATAGGTTTTTAAATAGCAAATTAATGAAGTTAAACTTTTGAATTATAAAACAGTAACCCTCTCATCTGCATATAAATTCTATCTGACCTTCAGGAATCACATGCATCTATAATGTCGTAAACGGAAGTTTTTGCTTATTTAAAATAATTAAAGCGCCATCCGTTGCATAAAATTTAAAGCAAAAACAGATTCACGGAGGATATAATCAATTTTTGTAACACCTACATAAATGGTTATAAGAATTATTTCTTTTAATTTTTAATAATATTTTATATTTGATTCGATTGCTTTGGATGTGATTAATTTACTTAGTGAACTGATATTTTTAGTATGCTTTTACTACCTCAGATATTTGAAAACATATAGGTTAACCTAGAAAGAGTAATAGTCACGGAGGATAGGTTTTAGACTTTTAAAACATTGTAACAAATAATTAAATGCGGTTAAAAATCTGGAACCTGAACTGTTAAGCCCGCTGCACAACAGCCCGGTAACGGGAACGGGAAACTAAACGGTAAAGGTGGGAGAGACTCAGCGAACCCTATCTATCAACAGTGGTTTTTTAGTCTCTCCCACCTTTATTGTTAGGATTTCCGTTCCCGTTACCGGGCTGTTGTGCAGGGGGCTTTATATCTACTTAATTATGAAAGATCAAAACACAATAAAAGTGTAGGTCAAACTCATTTAGATTTATTAAATATCATGGGGTAACACCATCGGGGGACATTTCTTGAGATTCACCCACATATATTATTTATTAAATTGTAAAAATTGGTAAATGCAAAAAAATGATACCCTTATCAATTTTTTTGCCAGCACCTTTTCCGGTATAAGGGCCCCTACCAGATTTTTGATACGGGGCTCAACTATACTAAGGTCTACAATGTGATAATAAACGACATAACGGTAAAAATTCTTAGAAGTTCTGCTACCACCATTTACTCATTTAATAAATAAATTTTTCAATTCTGAATAATTAAAAAATGCAAAAGTGTTTCCAATTTTTAAAATAAAAGACAAAACTAATATCGGAAACTACAGAACAATAATAATTATTATTGGTCTATTATAGCACTTCTTTCATTATATATTATAGACTAATATCATATTTTGAACAAAAACAAATACTATACAAAAAAAAATTATTGACTTATCAAAGGCTTTTGATAGTGTGTGTCAAAGAACACTTATACAGAAACTCTAATTTTATGGAGTGATAAGAATAGCTTTAAAACTGATCTAATCTAAATCTAAAACAATGTGTAATAGGAAAATCAGCTGAAGGCTTAAAATTAAAATCCAGTCTCAAAGTAATTGGTTTTCAATCTACCATAGTACATCAATATTCCTGTTGTACCTTATGCGATTAAAACCACACTTCTTATAAAGGAAATCTCAATGGAAAATCTTCAAAATAAAATACTATAAAATACTTGATGACATAGAAAACTAGGCTACCAAAAATAGCCTAAAATTGAATGAAAACATAACACAAATAACTAATTTTTATTTTTGGAAAAGTTACGAAAAGTTAACATTTCCCAGAAATAATATCATCCTATTAACACAAAAAGTTAACACTTACCAGAAATAATATCGTCCTATCCACAATCCACACAACAAGGTCTGTTCTATCTCATACTAAAAATACTAAAAATCACTGCAACACTGCACAGAGTTTAACGGCGGCCATTTTTGTTGTTTACAATTATTGTGCTTTGGGTTTGTGCTGTTTATACAGATGAATAATCGTTTTAAACGTTGTTTCTTACAGAGGCACTATTACTTTACTTTTGTAAAAAATAAACCTTATCCTATCAGTTACTTCATCTCGGCTTTTGTTTAATTTCGTTAGTATTCCTCACCAGCATCGATAGACAGCTGTTTCGCTCTATGAAGCTCATCAGTATCGAGGTGCTGTTTGGTGCGGAACACGAACGAAATTATGATTCCTTGACCTTATATAGGTTTTGGAATCATTCACTGCGGTGAGACGAAGTTAGTGGTGCCATCTACCGTCTATAAAATGGTTGTCCTTGGCAATTTAAGGCCTCATTTGAGGCTTACCAGTTCCTCTGTAAGAAACACAACGTTTAAAACTATTATTAAACAGCACAAACCCAAAGCACAAGAATTGTAAACAACAAAAATGGCCGCCGTTAAACTCTGTACAGTGTTGCTGTGATTTTTAGTATTTTTGGTACGAGATAGAACAGACCTTGTTGTGTGGATTGTGGTCCTATCAACACAGGAGTCTGGCAAATTTCTAGGAGTATATCGTCATATCCCTGCAAGAAGTATCTAACTAACTGAGCTGCAAGGTAAAGTAAATAAGCAAATAAATATATTTATAACATCAGTTTATAAACTATAGTGATTTTTAACCATGCAAAAACGCTAATTTCTAATATTCTGGCTTTTAAATATTAAAGTATGGTAAATATGGTAAATTTGTAAAATTAGGTACAATTTGTTAACATGTTAAATGTCATTTAGTGACTTTTGGCAGGATTATGACGATATATTGATCAAGAGTCTTAGACATTGAATAATAAAAGTAGTAATAAACCTGTGTTTATTGTTTGGTAATTGTTGTTAAATTGTTGCTCGAAGGACCATAAAACGATGCTTGTGTTTGTTTGATGTTGTTGTATTGTTGATTAAAACCACAATAGTGTATGGTTTTTAAGTAGATAATTATTTACACATAACTTAAACTAAGACTATTTAAACAAGTGAAATAAAAACTAGATCATTGGCGATCAATTTGGGTAGTCGATACTGCCCATGTGTTTCAATGCTGCTTAATGAATTGAATGTTGATTGTCGTCCTACAGTTCGGGTGGTTTTAACCCCCCTCGCTACTAGACATATGATTGGCTTGCTTCTAAAGTGGGAGTGGCAATATAAGCCTGTTTAAATTATACTTAAAACTATACATTTACGTTATACAGAATTAAAAATTGAAACTTTGCTTTAACAACCTGTATTATCAAAAAGATGTTATTATCACACGGAAGAATTCATAAATGACCGACAAATTCAATATTTTATTTATGAATGATTTTGTATTAAATAATTTCCCTTTTTTTCGACATGTTCCTTATATTGTATTATGGTATTTTGCAAACAAATAAACGATAAAATATTTTATTATTATCAAGATGCTAGACGTCTTGTTTAATTTGTTTACATTCCATTATTCTTAGATTTATAACATTATAGTGATTATAGTATTGCAGAAAATTTGTTTTATTTTAAATCGATTTCGTTTGTTATAAAAAACTTTGGCATAAACATAAAATTAATACAACTTTCTCAATCTGCTCATATCTGATCATAATTTATGATAAAGCAAATTAATGATTCTCGTCAACAGCAATTTGTATCCTGAGCATTTAGCAGTCAATCAGGCCAATTCACTAACATAAGTTGTCTGATTGGCCGGATTGCTTGATAACCACTGATTCTAGTGGTTAGTAAATTGGCCTGAATATCTATGTAAAATTGCCCCTTGAACCCGAAAATGAACAGTTTTTAAGACAGTTAATTTTCAAATTAATGTGGAAGTCAAAAACTGCTTTATTTTCATAATTGTATTATCGGATTTAGGGGACAATTTTACATAATAATTGGCTGTTAAATGTTGAGGATACCATGGTATCCCATGGTGAATATATAATATATATATAAGTGAAAAATCAGCCACTAATATCTATAGTAATTAGTAATTTTTTGCTAATTCATTTGTAGAGAGTTTGATTTGGTTTAAACTTTAAACCTTTGTTGGAAATTTCCCACTGGTTTTCAAATTACTTAACCCAACTTTATTAAAATTTAAGCTTGGTAATGTCTATTTGATTCAGCCAATTAACTGTTTGTTTCAGTTGAGGTGAACGGGTACACAACAACGAGTTGCGAAGGCTCAACTGGTAGCAACAATGCCTCGTTGGCAGGAGCGGTGGTCCGTTCAGCCACCGTGCATGTTTATCCCGAGGGAACTGTACGAACCGACACCGAGAGCGCTTACTTTTGCGCGAACGGTAAGTGAAACTTCATTGTAAAAGGCGACCTGACAAAATCACTTTTTGGGCGAAACATATTGCTTTTTTTCAATAAAATCCTATAAACTTAAGTTTGCCCTCATAAAATTTAACTTTTGATACAAATGCATGAAAACATTATAAATTTAAATTAAATCTGTGTTTAGTTTTTGCTTCTATTATTTTTCATTTCGTACAAGGATCATTTTAAAATAGACTGTGGCAACCAACCATTTGTCCGAGAAACCTGATTCTTGTCCTATTTTATAGGATTTTCTGTTAGTTTTTTTTGTTTGTTTTAATTAATATTATTTTCTTAGAAACATTTATTTTTTGGGACACTTTTTTTTACACAATATTGTAAGATACGTTTTATGACAGTTTATTATATCTTTTTTGTCGAATGGTTAATAATGCGCCGATTGGTTTTGCAATTGTTAATAATCATCAGTAAATTCTTCCATTTGCTAGAGCAATAATTATTATTATTTTCTTAGAAACATTGATTTTTATACACACTATATATAGCGTTTACGCTAAAGAAGTATCGCTAGTAGCGCCCCCACTCCGCTGTTATCATCGTAACAAAAGTAGAACTTTTAATAATCAGCTGTCAAACGCTTAGGTTACAAACGAGTGTTTTTGAGAATAAAGCCGGATAATGTTAAAAAATATCGAAAAAAAAACCGTTCATAGATTTGTTGTGTTGTTGGGTGTATTTCGAGAGGAAATCCTGGGTTGAGTTTTTATCGGTTTTCCAATAAACAGTGTTAATCTGAATGAAGAAATAAATTGCATACAGTCTCTGTAAATATAAATTATACCTATTAGATACAATAAATACACATTTTAGTAGTGATTACCGTGAAAAGTGTAAACATTTCAATTCAGTAAAAATCGTCAATCAAATGAGTCGTTTAAATTTAAACAGCATTTAGAATTATTAAATGCGTTGATTAAGAATTCTTTAAAGTCTGCACTCAACGGTAAAATACCATTATATTATGTATTATATATAATATTCTGTTGGCATGAATTCGTAGGTATATTTTGTTGTTTAAAATGCAGTTGTCGGCGTTTTTTAGAGAACTCAAATATAAAAATGATTGATTTTAAGGTTATGTCATGCAAAAATTATTTTTTACTAATTTCTTAAAAATGTCCAAACTTAAATATAAATTATATTACGTAAAGTTATCATTAGTTAATTCTGCACCAACAAATGTACTTACCGAATTGGATCCTTTGGCAAAACATGAAAACCAACTAACTTATTTAGTTCTTGAATTTTATTTACAATTAAAAACACAATAATTCACCATGATCCCTTTGATAAAATACACGCACTACCGTAACTATATAAGCATTTAATCGTTGAGTTTCTTAATCAATGATATAAGGAATAATCAATCGAAATCGAGTACTAAACAAGTTTTTTAATTTATTCCTTGCAACGTAAAACACAAATGACTTGCTCGATTTAGCTGTGCAATTGAACAAAATTTGTCAAGTCAGACTTCTGCCTTCCTCTCTTTTGTAAAAAAACTACCTATTTATTTAAAAATGATGTATAATTTGTGCTTTAAATTTATTATTGACAATTCTTAAATTCACGTCCACCAGATGGCGCGCGCGTTGCGAAAACCCGATACTTCTCTAGCGTATTGTAAGATACGTTTTATGACAGTTTATTATCTTTTTTTCGAATGGTTAATAATCCGCCGATTTTTTTGCAATTGTTAATAATCTTATCTCCCGCTGTGAACAATCTTAATCCTTTTCCAGTATATATTCCCTATTCCCTCCCTGTTATCAGGTAAGAAATATTTAATTCCCTTCCGCTACCATGACGACGCTACAGTGTGATTGAACTTGAACGTAAACGTCATAATTAAATTATACATCACAAATAATTTTGACACAAGTTTTTTTGCGGTTACCCAAATTGTTTATCAGTAAGCGATTTCACAAAAAAGTATAGTGTTTAGCTCGCGTGAAATCGCAATTACTCCCTCAATGAATTTCTTCACTCGCCTATCGGTTCGCTCTGAAACTTTTATCATCGGGAGTATCCAATTGCTATGATTCCACGCTTACTAAACAATATACCATTATTATTATTTCTATTATTTCACCAATGACATTTTATAAAAATAAATAATTTCAAAACATGTATCTTATCCTTTAGATGTAGAGTATCAATGCTTGATAATAATAATAATGGAACACTATGTACCTATAAAGATATATTTTTTTAATAACAAACATTTTAAATGCGAACCTAAAATGACAAAAAAATATATTTATGTTATTATCTTGATGGATAATAGATAATTTATTTTGTAGTAGGTACTATAGTACTACAAAATATATACATAACAAATAGCCAGGACTTCCCATGTATTTGAAAAAAAAAATCGTTTTAATAAGAACCAGCTAAAACTTATATCACTACTAAAACGTATAACGGTGCTGTTCTGAGAGGTGATTTTTGGACTTTCTGTGAAACCTATTTTTTTATATTTTTGTTAATTAGGTTTATTTTGCTCTTAAATATAAAAAAAAATTAGGTTTCACAGAAAGTCTAAAAATCACCTCTCAGAATGGTATGTATACACAGATCGGTACATGGCTTTAATACTAAGTATAAATCCATACAAGCAAAAGTAGAACAGTTTTTAAGATATAGTCAATTTTACATTTAATTTGGGATTGAATATATCTCAAAAACTGCTCCACTTTCATAATTTTTGACAGTATTTTCGGATTCAGGGGACAATTTTACATAAGAATTGGCTGTTAAATTTTGGGATATCGTGGTATTCCATGGTTAACCATGGTACAAGTGAAAAAGCAGCCACTAATAACTATTAAATTAGTCATTTTTGACTAATTCATTTATAGATATACCCTATAGATCTATAGATACATGCCTACCCCAAATTAGGAATATACCCCATAAAAGGCTTTCCTCTAATTGCTATGATTCCAAGCTCGCTAAACAAATTGTTTAGAACAATATACTATATTTTTAAAACAAATTGTTTTAAACAATATAGGTACTATTTTTATTATTTCACCAATGACATTTTATAAAAATAAATAATTTCAAAACATGTATTTTATCCTTTAACCTTTGGAGTACGGTGGGGGGTATATTTTATACCCCGGGCATGTTTTTTGTTAATAACTTTTAAAATAATTTTTTTAATGATTGGAAACTCCATCTTTTTGCTCAAAACATAACAATGTATCAAATCTCAAAAGGAATTAAAAATTTTTCCAGATTGTTTATTATTTAATATTTATTTATTAAAGTAGATTAAATATTACATTATTTTGTAATCTATTCATTTTATATTTATAAAATTTTAACACAAGTTTTGCCTGCTAATAAACTTTATTTTATAAAAATAATCTAATTAAATGAGTAGTTTATTTACGTAATTATCCATTGTAGCAGTGGTATGTTTATATATTAAGGAGATTCTTCTAAATGAATAAGGCACTTCCCTGCTTGTAGAATTTTTTATTTTTATTTTTAAAACCGACTAGTTTCGACTATTATAGTCATCTTCAGGGTTTCTACAGAAATATAGTTTTAAAAACAGAATTATTATTAAGATCTAAAAATATATAGATTAATATTAAACATTTGTACCTATGTATATAGGTAAAAAATATCAAAGTCATTTCAGCCCGAACAAATAAATAAATAAATAAATAAAATAATTGAAAACACGATTAGTTCTAATCGTGTTTTATAATTATTATTTATAATTTATTTGTTTGGTCTGAAATGACTTTGATATTTTTTACCTACATACAAATGTTTAATATTAATCTGTATATTTTTAGATCTCTAAATATTAGGGTTATGTTGGGATATCTGTTGTTAGTGTAGTGCGGTGTGGTTTTTCCTTTTAATGTTTATAAACTTTATACCTAGGTACTTTCAACGTAAAGTCATTTATAATGGTTTAAATATAAATAGGTTTACTTGTTCATTTATAGGCACTGTACTTCCTTGTTTTTATTTTGTTCATAGATTGCATATGCTTCCAGAAGTGTTAGTTTGTGATACCTACAAATTTATCAACTTACAAAACTTGTGTAGATAAATTAAAGATGAAGTGAAGATAAATTAAACTGTAACAAAATAATGTAATTTTTAATCTACGTTTACAAGATTTTTATATTTAAGGTAGTATCTTGTTCATAGATTGCATATGCTTCCAGAAGTGTTAGTTTGTGATACCTACAAATTTATCAACTTACAAAACTTGTGTAGATAAATTAAAGATGAAGTGAAGATAAATTAAACTGTAACAAAATAATGTAATTTTTAATCTACGTTTACAAGATTTTTATATTTAAGGTAGTATCTCCATTTCGAAGAGTTTTCATAGAATGTCTAAATTTAATAAATGATTTTGTTAGGTATCAGACACATTCACAAATAATTTCAGATTTTTTTACAGCCCAGAAAATAATGTTTAAAGTAACTTTTGTTTTCCTTAAAAAATAATCTATAATGATTTATTTCTAAGCTATCAATTTCATCCTATTTTGTTTCTTGAGTTTGAAAACGATTTTTTAAAATAATCTAGGTATGGGAAATAACACTTCTGCACATAGATTCTTTCAAAAAATTATTTTTAAACTCGAGCAATAAAAGAGGATCATGTTAAAGGCTTAAAAATTGATTATTACAGTATATTTTTATAAAAATCTCAAAAAACGATTTTTGACACTTTTTAAAATTGTAATTTTAAATTTCGTGCTGCCAACTTAAGAAACACAAAAATATTACAATCTTAATCCTTAATTTTGCCATTGGGTATTTCCATTGTAACGGGTGCGACACTGACACTGTGTTTTTTTTGTGATAATAAAGTGTTTGTTCATACATAAAAATTGATATTTAACTTAAACAAAATGTTAATAAAACTTTTATAGAAAACCTTTTATAACGTCATAAATCGCGTAACGGGCGCGACTTTAGAAAATCGGCAAATGCGACCATGTTGGTTCTTAAGTTGATACTGTAAAATTTTGGATGAAAGCTTATAGTAATAATTTTTTGTGTGAAACTTAAATAGGAACCTCAAACAAGCACGTATTTTAAATGCACAAATATTGTAAGTATACTTAATTTTCTAAAATTTTCTCAAAATGTAACGGGTGCGACATTTGAACGTTTTATCGAGTATTGAAACTCTTCCGTGTTTATTCTTAATGTTAGCTTCTTAGCATCACAATGTGCGAATATTTTAAGGTTATAAATTACGTCACAATTAAACTATTTGACTTCAGAAATAGTTTTTGTTTTGTTAAATAACACATCTGATTTTTTGTCAAGGTGAGGCAAGGTTTCGCGGAAATACTCCATTGTAACAACAAATTAACAATTTATAATATTTATTATTTACTTTTGATGTTGAAAGATAATAAAGTGGTAAACTGGCAATTTAAATACAACCTTTTATTTTTAATAGTGGAAGAACAGATGTTTTCTTTTAAACACGCTGAACTTCGCCGTTTGAAAATGTAAAATGTTTCAATAAAGACTTATATTATTATTATTATTATTATTAATACATTGGTACTGCTGAATTTTCTGCCACGGCCTACTGATATAAATTTATCAAACTTTTCAAATGAAGATTCTATCTTAAACAAGTATAAAACAACCGCTACTGATCAAATTACAACAAAAATAAATTGTTTAAGGTAGTTGTCGTGCTATAAGCATGCCATCAGAAAATTTTAAATTTTTGTATACTTACATGACAATACAAATATCCTTAAAATTTGAAGTCGATTGACCGTCTATAACCCGAGATAAATTCAATTAAAAATTGGATAATTAACATGGATTGTATACGCTTTCTGTAGTTCTGTACCAGTTTCTTAGTTATAAAAAAACTAACTGTCAGAAGCTTTCAAAAAACTAACAGACTTTTAATGTATTTTTGTTTTGAGTTTAAAAAAAATAATTAAAAATTTTTGACCGTCCAATTGTTTATAAATAACCGTTTAAAGTTCAACAATTTGTAAAAAAGTATACATCAATAGTATCAGATAAAATCAACTCCGCAGTAAATTCAAACAGATTAATTCAGTCTCCAAAATATCTATTGGTTGAGCATAAGCGACGTTGCCGGATTAAAACTTAACGTCTCCAAGGGTACAGTCTTGCGAAAAAATTATGAATCACTTAGCTACAAGCTCGTATACTTTTACCGTGCCTATAATCTAAAATTTTTTGACATTATTGTACCACGACAACTACCTTAAATATTGTAATTATATCTTTTTTTATGAATTATGGCCACTTTTTTATTATTCTAGTCCACCGTTCTCTGGAGGGTTCAGATTTCCCAGTACCTACTTACTTATTTTTTTTAATTCAGCGTGTAGAATAGGGCTAAATCGGCATTTGTTTATTTAAAAAATTATATATATTATCAACAATGACTAATACCGCCCACTATGTAAAATTACATTTCATAAAGGCAGTTTTTCACTTGTTTTTTACTCCACTAGATATCTAAATATGAAAATGTATTTTTGCGTCATTCTTGTTTTCCCTGCACCATACTGAGGGACACTGTGCGTATGGATTCAAAAGCAGACATTTGACATTTTTATGCCATATTGTTGTACATTTTACCAGGAATACGATTTTTCAACACTCAGAACCATAAAAAGTCACTTATATATTTTAATAACACTGTAGGGAGGTGAAAATATCACAGCTAAACACTCGTAGATTACAAATCCGTGCTTGATTTAGCTGTATCAGGTCAAAATTCAAAGATAATGAAAACACCCTGTATAAATTTAAAAACCCTGTATAAATTTTTTTTTTAATTAAATTTGGCGGGACCCACACATCAGTTCCAAATTAAAAAAATAACAAATTCTTGCAATATTTGAAGTTAATTGATCAAAAGATACACGTGTTTCTAAGGGTTTTTCTTAGATAATTTGGAAAATTTGAAATGTTTTTTTGCTAATTTTTTTTATTGAGTAGGTGTAATTGAGGATTTTATATTAAATGAAATAAAAAGCATAAAACTGTTGGCACAAGAGGTGAATTATAATTAATTTAATTTACAAATTATAATATACCAGTATACCTGTTCCCGGATCGGATTTCCAATAGGAAAAACTTTTTGGACCTGCAGCCGAACCGAGCACGGATTTGGAATCTACGATCAAAAATTATGTTTACGTGTCCGAGCGTTTAGCTGTGATATTTCAAAAGTTAAAAATTTACCTACAGTGTAATTATCAAAATAAAAATGTAATGTGTGTATTTATGAGAAAATAACAATAATAATAAACCAATTACAGTTTACCTTACGACAATCACTAAAATTAAAATAATAATTAGTTATTATTATAACCCAAATGTTATTCTATTTGGTGTTTCTAGCGTAAGAAGCTCAGACGCATAAGCAAACATTTGCAAGTCTCAGCTGCACAATTGTCATTTATTCCATAAAATACTCTTTTCCTATCATTTTTCGTATCAAATTCCAATTAAAAAAAAAATCACTACAAATTCCTAGTTTAGATAGGATGTTGTAGTGATTTATTTTTAGATTCTAAACTGTGCGTTAATTGATGGGGGATTAAAACATCCAGTTTTTTTACTTTTACTTAAAACCACATGTCGAATGTCTGGTTTTAAATCTATACGCTTCATCTTTACATAATCAATGATTTTATAAACTGTAAAATTGTATGTTACAGATATAATAGTTTTTTATTTCATAATTAAAGATTAACTACCTACCTAATTAACCCTAACCTTTTCTCATTAAAGTTAAACTTTGATGAACAGCCTTAAAGTTTTCCTCTCGGAAAATTTAATTCGGTTCTTGTTGTTTTTGTTGCAGAAAACTTGGTAGTTTCCACAATAGACAATTACAAATTTGAATGGATCAGCGCTCCCCGCAACCACGAGGGTGTGATTATCGAGGTAAAAGCCGGATCGTCGGAAAAACTCGGGCCGGTGCACGTGGCCTTGGCAGAAACTCGCTCTTTGTCTGATAAAATGTATCAAATCACCATCGGCGATGCAGAAAACACTATCACATATATCGGGAGAGGAAAACACGGTAATGAAAAAATAATGTAGAACCTGGTAAATTACATGATAAAGAGTCGTTTTTTGAACCACTTATTTATAGAAATAAAAAGGATTTTTCTTTTTTGTATGATCGTGTATTGTGAAAGTTTTAATTTGCAGAGCGCTTTCGGCCTTAAGCCATCTTCAGTGCTTCAATTGTCAGTTGACAGGAGTATATGTCTATGTTCATTTTTATTTACAGCTACTCAAAATAGTACTATACATATAACCCACAGATATGCTTATATTATACAAAAATCTTCATCTACATGAAGATTTTTGTATAATATAAGCATATCTGTGGGTTATATGTATAGTACTATTTTGAGTAGCTGTAAATAAAAATGAACATAGACATATACTCCTGTCAACTGACAATTGAAGCACTGAAGATGGCTTAAGGCCGAAAGCGCTATGCAAATTAAAACTTTCACAATACACGATCATACAAAAAAGAAAAATCCTTTTTATTTCAAAGAATAACGTGTACTCAGTCACACCTCCATTTACACTTATTTATAATTGATTTGGTAATATTAAGAATTTGCTTAATTTTATTTTTTTTTAAATATTAGAAAATCTATTTTATTGTATAATAATTATTCATAGTAAAGAAATATATATAGGTATATATTTTTGAGAAAGTATTTGCGACAATGAGTTTTACAAAGATCAAGGCAAATTTATTGTTGCGCCAATCAAAATAAAAGGACAAGTTTCCTTACAAACTTAAATGTAATAAAATAAAACGTATTTGACAAATTGACCGAACTTTGTAGAGGCGTTCGATTTCCCATTAGACCAAATAGAAGGTTGAAGGATCTAATCTAACATGCATAAATGCACTGTTCAAGTATTTGTTCCCGTAAAGTAATTTATGCCTGCTAATGGATCTTTGCATTTAATTGTGCAACTTATAGTAAAGTGTTCTATTTTTCAGGTTACGGCGTGCAGTTAACAAGCTTCGAAACTCCTGGAATGTTGTCGAAGGACGAGTGGCGCACATTCTGGGTTACTTGGGAGAAAAATACTATCACGTTCGGAAATGGGTCAGTGCCCAACAAAAACGTTCTTTTGAAATGGAGAATGGACAAAAAGATTAAAATACAGAATATTGGTTTTGCGTCGTCTTGGGGCAGTTTGACGGAATTCAGGTAAACTATTTTGTATTAATTTAAAATCAGTTTAATACTTTAATATAAATTAATATAATAATATCATCATAACATAGAAATAAGCATTAACGCTCGCTTCTTAATAATAAATCATTTATTATAATAATTTTGCTTTAAATTTAAATTAGAAAAAAATGATCAAACCAACCAACCCTGGATATTCACGTGTTCGTAATCTAGTGTTGCCGGATCTTCGAGACTAAAATGGCAGATTGATAATTTTAGTTGAACACAGTCTACATTATCGTTTATTATTGCAAAACTGTGCGGTAAAAGTTAACAAAAATGTATGTCACTTCACCTGGCATAAGTACATACGATATAGCATATACCTATGCATTAATTAAAGAAATAGGCTGTGTAGAAGTATTTAATTAACGCATATCTTATTGTCATGACAATAAGAAATCGATGATTTTTATAGTATGCAGTTATACTTCTAAAATTGGCATATAAACTTTTGTTAACATTCACAACACAGTTAGCAATAATAAACATGAACATCTTTTGTAGTCTTCGCAACTTATATAATATTTTTTTACTAGGAAACCAGTCGGCCAATACTACCGTAATTATTATGCTTATAAGTTTAAGCCTAATTATTACGAGCATAATAAGCATGTTTGCAATATTAACTATTGTAACAGTATTTCATTTAATTGGTAGCTTTTAATCACAATTTTTGATTGTAACGGACGCTACAAAAATTCCCGAGTAGCGTGGAATGGCTGATTTGTATTTTTATAGCTCAGGACCAAAGTATGTATATTATACATACTTTGGTCTATACTATAAAAATACATTGTATAATGCATTAATACATTAATGTATAAAGAATAATCAATTATAATAACTGACATTTTTTTGTCAAAAGTACTCGTACTCTTTACTCGTGTTTTTGCGATTACTACTCGTTCACATCCTCCGCACACAAAAGTTTATTGTAAACACAAACTTGTGTAAACTCTACCTAATATTTTTATGAATTATTATTTAAAATAGTTTGCATGAAATTTTGGGTTTTCAATGAACATGTACGGAATGTGTAAAGATTTGCCTTCATCCGTTCATCCATCAACGGCTGTTATCAATAAAAACAGAGTAAAATAAATCGTGATAAAAAATCGTCATACAAGTTTGACAAAGATGTTTTACGCTAAACTATTTGCAGCATTCATAATAATTTAGACATAAGACGGGTCGCAGCTCAGCTTGTTTCCAAAGAGGTTCATTTTCTTTATTATTGTGAGTTTTGGTAACAAAATCAAAGCTTCCTATTCTCCTAATATTACTAAGGCCGACATTTATTTTTTTCTAAACTGAACTACTTCGAGGAATGCTTACATTGTTTTTTAGAAAATTTAACTCTCCTATTTGTCTAATCGTGTTCACTCAACTTGCAAATTATTTAGGTAGGTGCCCACAATAAAACTAAAATCTTAAGATTTTTGTCTCATGAGAAATTTACCTTAGATGTGTTTTCACAGAACTAAAATATTTCTATAAAACACTCGAGTTTATGCGAAATACGAAACTTTACTCTTATTAGATAATGGTCCACAGTATTAAATTAAGTGATTTTATAAAAATATGTCAACAAAAAATATAGAATAAAGCTACAGCTTGTTATTATTACCTTGCCGTTAAGTCCCGTACAAAATAAAAATATATCACAGGTTTTGGGTAAAAGATTGGATTAAAAAATATAAAAAATAAAATTATAATGGAACATTATTAGAAGAACTACAATGAAAAGATCATGTTATGAGAATGTCTGTCAGTGATTTTCGATATTTGTTGGACAAAATAAAGTTTGGTATAAGTCGAATAATGCTTTTTTCCAGTTAAAATTGCATTATTTTCTCTTTAATATTTTTTTACTAGTTTTACTATAGCTTATTTTTGGAGAAAATTCAATTCGCAATATGGTAATATCTCATATAACTTGTTTCGATGCTTTATCCACTTATTTTTGTGAAAACTAATTCTCGCTCAAGGTTTTTTTTAGTGCAATGAGCATGTAGCATTTTAAGGTAATGGGAACTTAAATTATGACAACCCTAATCTATTAATTTTTTCCTAAAATGCAGGCTTTATGTTGTATTATTTTATCCGAAATCGGCAGTATAGTAGAACTTTACTGCCGATTTATTTTAATTTACGATGGTTGACTACTTTACTGCCGATTTCGAATAAAATAATTTGTTGTCAATCTTAAGTCTATTTTTAGTTAATCAAGCACTAACATTAGTTGTTTGAACGGCCATTTTGTTGAAATATTCATCGATGTTAGGATATTGCAGTTGGTGACCGGTAACTTACTAACATAAAGCCTGCATTTTAGGAAAAAATTAATAGATTAGGGTTGTCATAATTTAAGTTCCCATTACCTTGAAATGATACATGCTTATTACACTAAAAAAAACCTTGAGCGAGAATTAGTTTTCACAAAAATAAGTGGATACAGCATCGGAACAAGTTATATGAGAATTGACCATATATCATGTTAATACGTTGAAACTTATAACCATAAAAATTAAATTCTCATAACTATCAAATGAGACTAATATCTCATGACAAATGCCCATTGTAAATCTGAAAACAGTTATATTAACATAACAACATTTTTTTTTTAATTCCGTGTATTTAAAATTATAATTTTCCGGTACATTTGGAACAAACCGTATGTGTATTACAAATTGGGTCATAAGCGTATTCCAAATTTCGGGCAATCCTAAAAGAAGGTCATTTGCATTGTTCGGAGGGTTTGGAAGTTGTCAGTCGTCTACCCATGATATACCACATGGGATTGAGGTCTGGGAGGCCAAACCATTGTAGCAATTTAGACCTCTTGAAGGTACTGTTGCACCACTCTGGATACTTGAGGTCTGCATAAATATAAAATAATTACCAACAAATAGTGCAAATGAAACAACATGATCTTCTAAAATCTAAAAATGTACCGTTGTGGAGTTAGTCTCTCTATCCACTAGTACTAACTCCGTACGAACGTAGACTGTGAGTATATTTCTGCTGGCCTTCTGTATACCCTATTTGGTCTATCGTCAGAAAAAAAGAATCTGGACTCTTCCTTATTCCATGCAATATGTTTACGTGCAAAATTCAGTCTTTGCCTCCGGTGCTCCCTGGTGGGCAAGAATCCTGTGGCTGCCCTTTTTGGCCTCATATCGTTTTAGGCAAGTTTTCTTCCAATTGTTGCTTGACTTATTACAAAGTTATAATGCTCTACAAACTCAATTTCCAAAGAAGTACTTGTCACAAACCGTTGCCTCAATGTTCGAATACGCAGAAAACAATCTTGGTCATGGTTTGTAACCCTTTCTTTACCTGGTCTTCTTCTTCGTTGTTATCCGTTTCGGTAACCTTCTTAGGACTCTGGAGATTGTTGATTGGATCACATTGAATCGTTGTGCCTTCTCCGTAAGGAGTTCCGACTGTAATGCATTCAGCTTCGGATAAATTCCGATTTTGCATTTGTTGTCGCCTTATTTTATGCGAAAACAATAAATAAAAAAAATAACCTATGATATTTTAAGAATACGCATTTAAATCAGACTGAATTAAAATAAAAATAAAACAACTATTTTATGTTTAATTTTTTTGTGTAAAAATGTGCAAATGCTTTTATAATTTTATTGATAAACAACTACAATAGGTTTGAACTAAATATCGATAATATTACAAACTTTAATAATCTAACAAAATTTGTTATATCGGCTGGGGGTTTGTTTTTGAGCTTTTGTCGGCCAGCAATGCGAGTGCGACACCTTTTCGGCATCAAGGATTTTTTATGAAATTGACGCTCTATGATTAGTTATAAATTGGCAATTACAAAACATGTTTATAAATTATTATTATAATTCAGCATGCTGATATTATACTATAATAGTTCTTATACGGTTATTTCCTGGGAATAAATATTTGATGTTATATATAAATATATATATATATATACAATGTATATTATACATACACATATATATGTGTATGTAAATAATTTATATGCTACCCATCATTGTTAATCTATTCTAAAATTAAGTGAAAAATTTTTAATTAGATTTTTAATATTTTGCAATTTTTACATTATATCTACTAAATAAAAGAAATAAAATAAAAATAGCGGTAGTCTGTTTAAAAATTTATTTAACGCGTTTAGCGCATTAAAATTTTATTTAAACGTTTAGTAACATTCCCCAGTAAAATCGAATTTAATTTCGAACATTTACGATAATCCCGATAACCAATAAAATGGAGTGCATCTGTAATGTCCTTGTGGATTTACTGTCATTGATTCAACCATTGGACTCAATACGTTGCAAAAACGAAAATCAAAATAAAATTAATAAAAAACGAAATGTTGTGTGAAATTAAAACAAAATTGGATTTCCTGTTTTAGACAACTAGATTAACGAGCACGCCCCAAAGTTCAGCCACAACATAGATAACAATTAATTTTCGATAAATTTATTGCACCAGATTTATTTCTATAGAAATATGAAACCAATTATATATGGCGTATCCTCAATTAATCTTCAGTTTTATCTTCCAAGATTAATAATGCCACAAACTGTGCCTCCAATATATTTTTATAAATTTAAAACGAAAATATCCTTTCTAGAGTATGGAATTTCAATGCAGAATCGGGCTTCTCTCAGGTTTTACATTTGGACACTCCGAAATCAATGGTGCCTGGTACAGAATGGGGTGAATTGATTGTCACAGGTGGCCTTGCCTTACCATCGGTAAATACAAAAATCGAAGCAAGCAGCCTGACAGCCGCCTTGGCCTCCTTGACGTCTCTGCTGTCCATTCAACATTTGGGAGAAAGAATAAACGAAACTGAACGTGTAGAAGCCTTAAGAAACGTCCCCGGACACGTAAGTATATTTTTGTGTTATAAATAATAATAAATACAAAAAAATGGTTCTTGATATTTTATCGTACTTAATTTGTTTAAAAGCAAACAAATTTATTAATTTTATATACAAAAGTATATCCTCAAAAGCTCATTTTTCGAAAATTTAATACTTATACATGGTGTTTTTTTCCTGGGGACATCTGGTCTAAAAGGCTTAAACTTTTTGCCACACGGTTTTGAAAAAGTAATTTTTAAAGTGTTTTTTTTTAATATCTCCAAAAGCACTAAATAATATTTTCAATTTTGGTATGTATTGGTAGGATATACATACATACATAATTTATTTACAAAAGTCGTTATATTGCTTTACCTGTGGCTCTCTGCACAGATGTCATCTGATATTTTTTCACAAAAAAGTGGTACACCACTGTCATTTTTTCATACGGATTTTTTTATTAGCCTATAGGCTATAGACTATAGTCAATTCTACATAAAAACGGCCTCTTATGTTTTTATCTGCTGCTACCCAGGGTACTTAAGTACTAATTAGTACTATCTAGGTATTAGGAATTTTTCTTAAATTTTTTCACATCAATCCCTAGAAATCACGTTTTTTTACCAATGGAATTTAGCAAGGGTTGGGCATATATAAGTAATATACATACAACCAAGTCAATTCGCCCTACATTACAACCGTATAATACATTTAAAATAATAATTTACCAATACAAATTTAAAAAAAAATTCAAGAGATACAATTTTTGTCATAGCTATTTTACAAAGATAATGTTTCATTGTCTCGTTGGCACCCACCATTTACCCATAATAAGTTATTTAAATTTTATTTTCATAGATTTCTATGGATAAGTTTCAAAAAATTGGTAGCATAAAGTAAAAATGCATGGGACTTGGCGCTGTACACTGCCGTACATACAATAAGAAAATATTCGTTGATGTGCAGAACAGTAATCCACTTGTTTTTAAGTTAAAATAATAATTAATATATTAATTGAGGCGTTTATTTGCAATACCGACTGCATCCTTTTAAAGATAATTTAAAAAATCGACAAGAATATTGCCATTCTTAACACAGAAGGAATTTTTCTTTTTTAATTATTTTGATATAGTACTTTTAATGAGATATTACTTTGAGCAAAAATCTAGAAATCCTATACTGATAATAAAGATATTATAAAAACTTGAAGTAGGGATGCGGCCGATTTTGCAGTAAAAAAATGGATCTGGCCGATTTTGGAAAAAAATAAAATAGCTTATTTATGCATTTTTATTGTTTATTATAAGAATAATGTAATAAAATAACAAAGTAAATGTGGTTAGTAACTAACATTCTTTAGTAATTAAATTTAAATGAGTTTAGAAAAAACAATGGTGCGTTCTGAAAACATTATCTACTCCAAAAAGAATAAGGGGATAAAACAAGATAAAGATTTATTTAAATACTAAGTTGTTCTGTTTCTTCAGGCGTTTCACAAACTGCAACTTCAGAAAATGCAGAAAACAATTTATTGTCAGTTAATATTTTTTGTAATATTCTAGGAAATCAATTTCTTGCCAATTTATTCCATAATGTTTTTTCCATTGATTAAGGTGTAACTTCAAACAACGATTTGTTGTTTTAAATACATTTTTATATTTTGTTTTAAATATATTTTTTACTTATTTCAACTTCAAACAACTTTTTCCGTGCTGTCTATAGTAATATCTATAGAATCGATAGCACAAAAACCATCAAATCGAAAATATCGATAGTAGAATTTTTGACTATCGCACATCTCTAGCTGATACATCTCAATGTGAGACTGTCACTGTTGTGTAAATATGGTGACTGCGATTCTTTGCAGATGTAAAAAACCTGTAATTTGGAAGTAGCCGCTATTAAAACAAACTCTACAATGGATGTGGCCGCTTTTGCAAAATATTCCAAAATTTAAATGAACTTTTTAGTGGGATCTAACCGCTTTTAAAATAAATTGAGTTTATCATGTGATAAAGCACATCTTATAATAGAGTTTTCTACTGTTAGATTAATTTTGACGAAATATGGATGTAGCCACTATTGCAAGTAGACGCCTTAATTATAATTATTATAATTAAGAATATTAATCCCTAAAGTTCATAACTACTCATTGATGTCACAAACCTATTGCAGTTTTTAAAGTAACCCTTGATGTTTTATTGAAAATTGAATGATTTTAAATGGTACAATGAGACTGGCATTGATATTGTATATTTAGTTTAGTGTTCTGCGCATTAATGGTAAGTGTTTTGCAATGGTTACTGTTTTATTTTCTCCGTGTACATTAGGGCAGAGTATTTTTTTAACTTTTAAAACCCTGTATGCTTAAAATGTCCGAATAAGTAAAAAAAAATCCAAAAATAATATATTTGCCTGCCGAAACCATCTTATTTATAGATATACCAAAGAAAAATCGAAAAGCACTAAAAGGAAAATTGAAGGAATTAGCCAGGAAATCATTATACTCCAACGATAATCTAGACCTAAACGTAATCCAAACGAACTAGGATGTATTCCATCTACTTCTAAGGCAAATGATCCTTTAGCTCCGATTTTCCATACGTGCTAAACTTAGATGATGGGATCATATGAGACACTAATCATTCTTTGTAAGATACGCAGATAAAGAGTTAAAAAATTGGTGGCCATATTTCAAAAATTTAGGTAATCTATTTTGATGGTCGGAGGGACAAAACCTTGGTCCAAGAAAAAAAAGGAAATAAGAATTATCAAAAAACTGTTAACTAAGGACATTATGCTATATTTTCCGAACCCGGATCAAGATATCTTGGATATTTATAAATGTTGTACCCATAAGTCCAACATTTGGAAGTGCAAAAGCAATTACAAAAAAATATTGATGTAAATACAATAATTGAGGCTATAGGTTGTGACGGAACTATGGTAAATACCGGTTCAAAAAAATAGAGTACTTCGAGGTCTGGAATCGGATTTAAAGAAGCCATTACAGTGGTTAATTTGTTTGCTTCACACAAACAAATTTCCACTGCGTCACTTAATAAATTATTTTAATTGAAAACAGACCAAAATTGTTTTTGGGGTAAATTGGCGAGAACTTACCCTTGGTAAAATTTAAAAAAATGTTACCTTCAAGAGATGTGAAACGCTAAGTACAGATCAAAAATAAATGTGTCAGGGAATCTTTAACAGAATTTTAAAAGAAGCGCCTGGAAAATTGTCCCACACCAGATGGCTTACTACCGCCAACTGAGTTAAAAAAAGTCTAATAAAGAGAAAGGGATATTTTGCCCATTTAGAAAATCTTTGATGTTAGCAGATGACCGAACATTCATTCTAGAGTTGGTTTTAAGAAGAATTTTAAAATGTAGAAAAACAAATAAAATAAACCAATTTTTGATTGTAAAGATTATGTGGACTAATTAAGTCAATTAGATTGGCAGAATGTCAGAATAAGCGAACCTTCCTTGGCAATGGGTATATTAGATGAAGATTTAACTAGTATGATTTTTGTTATTTCGTATTGCCATTCGCAGGCAGTGATTAATAACAGAAGCTTCTATAGCTGTTTTTGGCTTTAATGCGCCGTTCATCCAAAGAAGTTTTATCGCAATTTAAAACAAAAAAACTTTTTTAAGATTTTAGCAAAAAAAATAATTCTGTAAGGGTTGAAGGTTTAGGATGAAACTTCACGTGGCGACTTCCGAGTTGTTTTTTTATTTGCTAAAAAACAAGCAAAGTGCGTCATTTTTTTTAGTTTTTATAAAAATTTACCTTTATTAAACTTTTATGGCCCTCAGATTTTTTTCGGTTGCTAAGTATCTTAAAACCCAACCAGCAAAGTAATTTTATAATTTCATCGCACTGCGACTGTTTTATTTTATTCTTATTTTATTATTACTTCCAAAATACTAATTAATTTTATAAGAGAAGTGATGAACTCTATTCTGTTGTTAAAAATGAAATGTTTTATAAATTTATCGTAAAAACGTTTCTATGATCAACACAATAAAACTAATACAAAAGTTAAACCTATAAAATAAAATTGTTTTATAATTGTTTTTAGTAAATTTTGGCGATATTATTAAGACTCTTATAAATATATTATAAAACTATTTTATAGACGCGTTTTATAGCTTTAATAAAACAATTATATTAAAGTATCAATGAGAACTATTTCGTTTCTTCAAGTAAAGTGTTTCTTTAGTAATCAATATAAAACTGCTTTACCTATATTATGCTATTTGGGTTACAATATAAAAGCAATAACAAAGTTCTTATAAAACTAAATAGTTATCATTTTGATATCGCTAATTACAATAAAACAAATTTATGTTGAATTAGCTGATGTGGAGTACATCATTTTCATTAGTTCAGTGTGTTCAATGTTTCATAAATAAAAATGTCGCAATTATCGCAGTGGAAAAAAAAAAAGAAAAGTGGCGCCTTCCGCAGAACATTAAAAAGATCTTACGAAAAAATTATCAGTAGTGATAATAAGGATTCCAGTTTCGACAATGATAAAACGGATCATTTAAACATAAAGCAGGAATCTACCAATTTTAACAACAGTGCTTCAGACCTCACAAGTGTCAGTACTAGTAACATTTTACTGTTTTATTAGGCGTCAAAAAGTCGCGAGTTAGCAAAAAAGTTGCCAGTTAGCAATATAGGCACTTTTATTTGCTCGGAAATGACCGTATAAAAATCGCCTGTGGTATTAAAATGTATGAATGGCAACAAATATGTTTGCCAAAAGTTGCCAAAAAGTGTCAGTACTAATAACATTTTATTGTTTTATTAGAGTCGCCAAAAAGTCGCGAGTTCGCAAAAAAGTTGCCAGTTAGCAATATAGGCACTCTTATTTGCACCGTAATGATTGTATAAAAGTGGCGTGTGGTGTTAAAATGTATCAATGGCAACAAATTTGTTTTATTAGAGTCGCTAAAAAGTCGCGAGGTAGCAAAAAGTTGCCATTTAGCAATATAGGCTCTCTTATTACT